CACACACACACACACACACACACACACACACACACACACACGTTGCTCCTTCTCTTCTTTTCTATCACAAACATCTATTTCTATTGTCCTGATTTCTCATAACGGTCATTTCCTTCTTTTTACTGTTTTTGTTACTCTCATTCTCTCTCTTGTAACATCTCTAATCTTTGGGACTTGCATACATGTCGTTATTGTACATTGCAAGTGCCTTAAAAATAAACTGAAAAGCGTGGGTGGTTCGCGAGTGCTCTGGTGAGGTTTGCTTCTTCTTTCCTGTCAAACATCTGCCCTCCTTCTTGTTTGTGTTTGTTACTCTCTTGTAACACCTCTAATCTTCGGCACTTATATGACCTTATTGTGTTCCAGGTGCCGTAAAACACTTACTAAAACTAAAAATAAACTGAGAAGCACACCCGCTCACTCACACACTCTGCACATGCTTGTGTGCCACACTCACGTCCGGATAAGCCGCCCGCCGTCCTAACACATGAACACACAGTCGTACGTACACACACGCGTGTTCATGTCCGAACGGACAAATTCACTCTCACAGTCACACACGTACACACACGAAGTTGCGTATTCTCACACTCGCACTACCGGTAGCGTTTGTGGAGTTTACCGTAGTTTACGTTTTATATAGACACATCATCGTGTTCGGGTCAACTGCATCATGTGTGCTCATTCTCTCTCGCACTCGATTTATCGTTATAATGTCATCTTTCATTCTTTATACCCCGGGGCGGTGCTACTGAGGAAGTGTCTTTGAACTTATTCACAGTAGAATTGAAATTGTAAATGGGCTGATTCATCAATTTCATGCTCATAACTGTGCCAGAACTGCAATAGTGAACTTCTGCTTTTTCTTTTATCAACTATCTTCATTTTTCCATACTTCTTTTGAATGTTTGTCACACTCGTGTGACCCGCTATTTCGGGGTGCCTTGATAGTCGAAGCAGACTTCGTGCTGCTGAAGCAAGAGAGGTGAGCAGAGTAAGTCTGATTCCCTGTAAGGACTTCTCTGTTGACATCCACCCCCTTGGCGCTCATGACCTTATGCAGTTGCGAGCGCTGTAAAACCTCTACTTAAACAAAACAATCTCTCTTTCCCTCCCTGGCTATCTCTTTCTCCCCCTCTCTATTCCTCTCTCTCTCTTTCTCTATGTGTCTGTCTGTATGTTTGTTTGTCTGTCTGTCTGTCTGTCCTTCTGTCTGTCTGTCTGTCTGTCTGTCTGTCTGTCTGTCTGTCTCTCTCTCTCTCTCTCTCTCT